GGTTAGTAATTTTAATAATTATAAATTTGTTGATGGTCGATCCATAATGGATCAATTTGATGAGTTGCAACGCATCTATGGTAGCTTAGAACAACATGGTATTGCTATGAATGAGCTGTTTGTTGTTTCTAGCATAATTGATAAATTTCCCCCTAGTTGGAAAAATGTGAAACATGATTTGAAACACAAGAAAGAGGATATGACATTGTCCGGTTTGGCCACCCACCTTCAAATTGAAGAGGGGATTCGTTCCATGGAGGGAGCTAAGGATGGTCATCTACCGTGAATATGGTAGATGAAGGAAGGGCTAAAGCCTCTACTAGCTTCAAGAGGAAGAATGATAATTCTTCCAAAGGGAAGTCCAAAAGGCAAGCAAACAATAAAAAGTTTGCTTGTTGGGAATGCGGTAAAGTTGGACACCGCAAGAAGGACTGTTTTTCCTTTAAGAAAAGGATGGAAAAATCCAAGGAGGGTCATGCTAGCACTAGCAAGGACCAACCCACCAAAGGTAATCCAATTCATGAGGTTGAATTTAATTTCGGTTTGGATTTAAATGCAACGGATCCTAACATTTTTGTTGTGCAGGATGATGACTCATGGTGGATTGATTCGGGGGCGTCAAGGCACGTGTGCAAGAGTAAGCATTGGTTCAAAACCTTTCAAAAGGTTGTTGATGGAGAAGACCTCTACATGGGGAACAACTCTACCATCAAGGTCCTTGGAAGAGGGAAAGTTGAGCTTATGTTTAGTTCGGGGACTGCAATAGTTCTTAGGAATGTGTTGTATGCTCCGGAAATTAGTAGAAATCTTGTATCTGGACCTTCCCTGAATAGTCTTGGCTATAAGTTAGTATTTGAAGCTAATAGATGCATAATTACTAAGGGTGTAATGTTTATAGGTCGTTGCTACTTGGATAATGGTTTGTTTAAGCTTTCTTTAAAAGACAAGCATGTTTGTAATGATGATTTATGTTTGAATGTTGTTGACAATGTTAATCAAGTTGATTTAAGTTTGTTTGATTTATGGCATTTGAGATTAGGACATGTGAATTATAATAAAATGTTGTTTATGTCCAAACAAGAGTTGATTCCTTGTTGTGATATTTCTCCTAATAAGTGTTCTACTTGCATGTTGAACAAGATCACTAGAACTCCATTTAAGAGAGTTGAGAGAAGTTCTAACATTTTAGAACTAATCCATAGTGACTTGTGTGATTTTCATAATACGCCTTCTTTGGGGAACAAAAGATACATGGTCACTTTTATAGATGATTATTCTAGGTTTTGTTATGTGTATCTTTTGCATTTCAAAGATGAAGCTTTAACCAAGTTTGATATTTATAAAAGGGAAGTAGGATTGCAAGTAGATTCATTTATTAAGAGAATTAGAACTGATAAGGGAGGGGAATACTATGATCCAAGTTATTTCCAATCTTTGGGTATAATTCATGAGACTACAGCTGGTTATGCACCACAATCAAATGGTGTAGCTGAAAGGAAGAACAGAACTCTTCAAGAAATGGTTAATTCCATGTTATCTTACTCAGGTTTGAGTGAGGGATTTTGGGGTGAAGCTATGTTGACAGCTTGTCACATACTTAACCGTGTTCCCACTAAGGGAAAGGATTCCACTCCTTATGAACTTTGGTACAAAATGAAACCAAACTTGAAGTATCTCAAAGTTTGGGGTTGTAGGACAGTCGTAAGAGTGCCCGGAAACAAGAAAAGAAAGCTCGGTGAAAGGGGCTTGGAATGCATTTTTATAGGTTATGCTGAGCATAGCAAAACCTATAGGTTTTATGTGATAGAACAAAGTGACTATATTTCGAAACATTCGATTATTGAGTCACGTGATGCAATTTTTGATGAAAATCGTTTTTCATCAATGAGTAGACCAAAGGATCTACAAGTTAGTACCAAAGGAAAGGAAATTGTTGATTATGATGATCAACATGTTTCTCATGAAGGTTCATCTAATAATGAGGATGTGACTCCTCATGTTAGAAGAAGTAAAAGACAAAGGAAAATTAGGAATCCTCTAGATGACTTCATAATTTATTTGGTTGAAGGATCTAGGGATGCCCTTAGTTCCACTACTCTATATTGTTTTAATGTGGATAGTGACCCAAAAACTTATAGAGAGGCCATATCTTCCCAAGATAGTGCATTTTGGAAAGAAGCTATAAATGATGAGATGGATTCCATCATGGGAAATGACACTTGGGTCTTAGAGGATTTACCTCCCGGTTGCAAACCTCTTGGTTGCAAGTGGATTTTCACTAGGAAAAGGAGACCGGATGGCTCCATAGTGAAATTTAAAGCCAGATTGGTTATCCAAGGTTTTAGGCAAAAGCATGGTGTTGATTATTTTGACACCTATGCACCGGTTGCAAGAATAACCTCGATAAGGTTGTTAATTGCAATGGCTTCGGTATATAATCTAGTAATCCATCAAATGGATGTCAAAACGGCATTCCTTTATGGAGATCTAGAGGAAGAAGTGTACATGAAACAACCCGAAGGGTTTGTTTTGGAAGGACAAGAAGATAAGGTGTGCAAATTGGTTAAGTCCTTGTATGGACTTAAACAAGCACCAAAGCAGTGGCATCGAAAGTTTGATGACACAATTTTGTCCTTTGGATTCAAGGTGAATCTAGCTGATAAGTGTATATATAGAAAATTTGATGACAAAGGTCATGATGTCATCATTTGTCTATATGTTGATGATATGTTTATCTTTGGTACAAGTCTACAACAAGTAGAATTGACCAAGGAATTCTTATCCTCATCTTTTCAGATGAAAGATTTGGGGGAGGCGGATGTCATTTTAGGCATCAAGATAATTCGGGACAATGGAAGACTTATTCTAAGTCAATCTCATTACATTGAGAAAATGATCAAATGGTTTAATATGTTTGATAAGTGTCCCGTGTACACCCCCATGGAACCAAATGCCAAATTGGTTAAGAATTCGGGGAAAACAATTTCCCAATTGGAATATTCAAGGGTAATTGGATCCTTGATGTATGCCATGACTAGTACAAGAACGAATATTGCATTGGCTGTGGGAAAACTAAGTAGATTTACTAGTAACCCGGGTACACAGCATTGGTTTGCAATAAGGAGGGTCTTGAGGTACCTTAAGGGTACATTATACTATGGTCTATCTTATAGTGGATTTCCTTCGGTTTTGGAAGGATATTTTGATGCAAGTTGGATCACTTACAAGGAAGATGATTCTTCTGTAAGTGGTTGGATTTTCATGTTTGGGGGAGGTGCCATTTCATGGTCTTTCAAGAAACAAACTTGCATTGCGGATTCCACTATGGCAGTTGAGTTTATAGCTCTTGCTTCAGCTAGTAAAGAAGCTGAGTGGTTGAGGAATCTCATGTTAGAGTTGCCTTTATTGTCATTCCAATTCGGCGTTGATAAAGGCTTATAGTCAAGTGTACAATGGTAAGTCTCGGCATATTTCACTAAGGCATAGCCTAGTGAAAAAGCTTATCAAATGATGGGGTCATAAGTCTTGACTATGTTCCAACAAAGATGAATTTGGCGGATTGCTTTACAAAGGCAATGCCAAGACATTCCATCATATTTGCTATGAATGGAATGGGTTTATGTCCAAAAACACAAACTTGTGAAACCCAATCTAACGCTTGAAGAAACATCAAGTCTTAGATTCAATGTGGTTGAATCACATTTTTGATGTTTGTTAGCAATATTTAATGACCCATATTGCTATGGTACTTGTGATGTATTAGGTAGCGTCAATTAAAAGTTCTCAAAGGTTTAGAGTTGAGAAGCTCTAAATGTAAGTGTCTTGTCACAAGGACACAATTACGTATATGAGAACCTACCTATATAAGTTCGAAGTTTAGCCGCTTCAAGAAGTCTAAAAGGACATATAGACTTTGATGAACTTATGAGAGATACGGACACATGGCTGTTTAAAAGTGTCAAGTGATGAATGATTCGATTTATCTTATGTGTGCTTCACCTTCGAATGGCTGGATATATCCGTGTGATTCAATCCATATGGAAATCATGGGATATGATCATCGTTAAGTGTGTTGTACTAGGTGTTAATTCAATCCGAAGGGACATTAACATTGATGCATAAGATGTGGCTAAATGATAGATTTGGAGAATGTATTAAGAAGACACTCTAAATGGGGGAGGATTGTTGATAATTTAGAGTGTCGGAGTGGAGCGGTCGCTCTACGGAATCGCGCTCGCTCCAGCTAGGCGCGACCCGCGACAAAACCGCGCATTAACCGCGATGAGTTTTTGGAAAATTTTGGAGGCGCGCCTGCGTCATGGCATGGCGCGACCCGCGCCCAAACCGCGCATAAATCGCGTTAACTTTCTGGAAAAATCGAATTTTTAGGCAAAGAAGGAGGCGCGCCCGCGCCCCATGGTGGCGCGCTCGCGCCTATTCGCTCGCGCCCGCGCTTTTTGCCGTTTTGCGGTTTTATACGACGGTTGATTCTATTTTATATAGAAGGAGTTTTTCAAAAGCAAGAATACAGAACATTATTCTCTCATCTTCTCCCCAAGAATTCTCCATTTTTCTCTAAATTTTCTAGCAAACTATTTTGAGAAAACCTCTTGATTCTAGTCTTTCTTGTGAATCATCCATCGGTTTTCAATTCTTTGTGCTAATAACGGAAAGTGCTGTCAATTGTATCTCAAAGGGAATTTCCGAATTAACCCTAGCACCATGTGGGGGAAATTAATCCCTTTAGGAAAGTATTCATACGCCTTTGACATTGTATCAAGATCATAGTCTCAAGGGACGTTGCAATTCTCATGTTCATGTTTGGTTGATTGGCTTGGAATTAAGGCAAGTGTAATTAAAACTTCATATTAGTGTTGTCATTAGAAATTTCTGTAATTTCTTAGTGATATTAATACTTGATTGTAACACGTGGGTTGTGTTTGATTGTATTACTTTAATTTGTTATTGTAATCACATTCTTTAGGTTTTGGTCCCACACACTTTATTGAGTGTTTTCTTGATTGAAATCACTATAAAACCTAACATGGGATCGGCTTCTCTAACCCGAACTGACGAAGGACTCGGTCTGGGAGGTGGAACTTAACGACATCAAAGAAAATCAGAGGTGCTCGTGTACGCCAGATGTGCATGTCAGAGCGACAAATCTCTGGAAGTCGGTCCATCACTGCCTCAGTATATGGCTGCCAAATCATCTAATTCCCAAAACAAGTATGTCAACATGTATATGACTAATATAATGAAAGAAAAACAATGCACAAAAAAAAAAAGAAATGTCGATTATACCTGGTCCTCGCGCTGATGGTCAAACGCATCTCTGTAGTATGGTAGTCCAGAAGCAGTATGCGCACACGAGAGATGGACACGTAACCACCTGTAAAAACTCGTTAATAATAATTCTTGAGAGATAGAACTGTAAGAACATGAATTTGAAGCAAACATTGTACCTGCACGCCAAAGGGTCAATACCTCGCCGATGTTGAGTCCCCAAAATGTCATCCTCATCCTCATCCTCAAGGTCCTCCTGTGGCGGATCTCGAGGTCTCCTAACGTATGGTCGGCCAATAGTAATATGCTCCCACGACCACAACTGTAGTAGGATGAGTGGGCCTCCAATCTGTCTCGAATTTCGCTGACATGCTCGACATAGCTGCTGGTATTTCCATCAAGTACCTACGGGCCTCAACATTCAAGTCACCTATCTTGTTGATGTAGTAATCAAACTTCTTCTTCTGCCTTGTAGTAGCTGCTTTGCCAAAAAGGTTCTTTATGACGACACTTTTAAATTTTGAGTTTACATTAGAAGCCAAGTGTTGTGTGCAGTACTTGTGGTAGGCATTAGGCTCTTCCCGACCACTTCCAACCTCTTCCATTGCTGCTAAAATACCAGCATGTCTTCATATATCACACATAGCCCTTTCCTATATGTAACTCGAGCTCGAATACAAGCCATGAACCAAGACCAGCTATCATTGTTCTCTCCTTCAACAACCGCAAAAGCAAGGGGGAATAGTTGAAAATTAGCATCCGTTCCCATAGCAATAATTAGAGTGCCTCTGTATTTTCCATATAAATGAGTTCCATCAATGGTGATAAGGGGTCTGCAGTGACGGAATCCATCAACACATGGCTTAAATGCCCAAAAAACTCGTTGGAAAATATGTGTTCCAGGAACGGTACTCTCCAACAATCTCCACTCGACAACAGTTCCAGGATTTGATTCCTTGAGAGCTTGCATGTACTTAGGCAACTGTTCATATGAACCCTCCCAATCCCCATAAATGAGATTTATTGCCTTTTGTTTCGCTAGCCCTGCTCTCTTGTAGGTTATTTGGAATCCATCAAACTTCTCTTTCACAAGTTGCACCATTATCTTGATTTTCAATGAAGGATCAACTAACGCGAATGACATATAGAAGAGCATTGCAAATGAACTCGGAAGTGAGTAGCTTATGACCCACCGAGTCGATGTCACCAACACAGTTACTTGCATGAGGGTCGTTGTACCGCACAATTTTAAACGTAGTGAGTGTTGGATCTTTCACTCCTCTAAGCCTCCACGAACAACTACATTGTTCTTTCCTCTTGCACTCAACAACATATTTCTCTGACTCTGCCTCCACAACTCGAATTGTTTGATTTCTAGCTATGGAGTAAGATTTCACAGCATCTTTCAGTTGTTGCAATGAGTCAAACTGCTGTCCAACCTCAAATTCCCCCCATTGTTATATGCCTCACTTCCTAACCATGTCATCCATGAGTTATTCACACGTGGGTCAACTTGCGGCACTTCATTGAAGTATGTAGTGGGAGCACTGTCTTTGATTGTCATATCACGAGCTTCAATTACATCTTCATCATCATCTTCATCAGTATCATTCATCTCCGTATCCCCAAAAACATCAACATTGTTTGGGTCAAGAGAATCAAGAAAGCCTTGTGGTTGTGTGCTTGTTGAGGTTCCAACATTAGGCGATGAGGTCGGACACCTAATCTATGAAAGGTGTTCATTTGCATATTCTGGATCAACAAGCATTCTTGTGAATGACCCTACGCCCACACTTTGATCAGTAAAGGAAAATGGTTGCTCCACACTACCAAAAAATTCCATCCCTGGGAACGAACCAGTATTAGTTTTCACAACTGGCTCCGTTGGAACCTGTTCAATGTACAATTGCATTGCAATAGAAGAACTTTGAGTCACAACAATCCATATAGCCTTAAGAGCGTTTTCGTCATTCAACGGAACTACGACATAAGCCCCAGCCATAGGATACCGCATAACCACCTTCAACTCCACAACTTTAGGATCAATACCCAATTCTTCATACAGCTTATTCAGAACTTGTGAATATGTCATCCCAGAATGTACAAAAACAAATTTTTGATTCCCACCCCTGTAAGTTACATCGCTATCTTCGTGGATAATTTCTCCACCCCAATAGCAATATAGAGGGTAGTTTGGTACTTCCATGATGCAATCTAGAAAACACCATGATTAGTCAAAGATATTAAGTGTTGCAAAATATATGATGACATTCACATACATCGTTCTTTAACTAACCCTAATCAAGCTCTTTTACTCATAGGAAAATAGGAAAAATAAATGAAAACAAACAATTTTTCCAGGAAAAGTGACAAACAAGAAGGTCGATTCCTCATCTAATTTCTATCAGTAGTTCTATCTATCTATGATGGTGCAATTAATACTCCACCAAGGCACCAACCTCTCAAACCTCATCATCTAATCATTTAGACTTTTACCTTCCCTTGATATGTCCAACTCATTCAAATTAATATTGACTGTGAAATATAAGTGAAGGTCCAACTTCAAATGTCAAAATCAAATAAATAAATTTGACTACCCAACAAAGTATGGAAAAAATCACGAAGATATGACAAGAACAATTGCAAAATATAGAACCAGAACAATTGCAAAATATACATTGTGTGGTATACAGGTATACTGTTATAACAAGAAGCTCAATATCACAACTACAAGAAAAACTCCAAACCTAAAAACAAAATGATTCAACACAATCAATCAAACTCACCAAACAACAACAAATTCACGAGCATTCACCAAATTCACGGCAATTGAATAAAAAATAAAAAAAATTAGGGCAAGAGTTACTTACCAAATGACGAAACACAAAGAGGATTCTTGCTCTGACACCGGCGTCGGCAACCCCCTTTGTGAACGTTGTGGCGTTTACCGGCAACAGCGGCGGCGGATTTCGGTGGTCCTCGTCGCGTGGCAGATTCCGGTTGTGAACGTTGGGAGGAGTCTTTGCGTTTTTGTTTTGGTGGGAAGTGAACTGATTTTGTAAAATAACGAAATGAGACAACGAAGAACTGATTTTGTAAAAAAATTACTAAAAATAAACCGCTACTTGTATAACCGCTACTTCAAGTAGCGTTTTTATATTAGAAAACCGCTACCTGAAGTAGCGGTTTTACACAATACACCGCGGTTTTTTAAAAAAAAACCGGTTTAAAATTCTTTCCCACTGAACCGGTGACGTGGACGGTATGACGGGAATAAAAAAAAAAGCAACTGTATTTTGGGAATTGCAAATCTTCCCAACAATATTTAGGGAAAGAGCTCAATTCTTGATTTCTCAATTCCCGATTCTCTAACCTAATTGCCGATTTCCCCGCCGGCACAATCAACCTTAATTACTAACAGCGTTAACGACAAACTAACGACAGTTACTAAAAAGGGCATTTTGTATTAATGTACATTAACTCAGTGGTATTTGGTGTATTAGAAATTAAAGTTTTGTGTGATATATGGTGAATTATGCATTAATTCAATGGTATATGGTGAAAAATCCGTAATATATATTTGTATAGATATATACTTTAAATACATAATTATAAAAACAATTAGTATAATATTGGTATTAAAATCCTAAATATTTAGATGAATCTAACGACATCTAATCTTATTTTGAAATTCAACGATTCATTATTTTTACAATTTTACATTTTTCCACCGACATAATAATTATCAGACACATAAAATTATGACCATTAATTTTTGTCACAACTTATAACCTTTAGCATTTTCGTCTCGTAAATTACCCCTCTGGCCCTCTTAAGCAGTGTCTATCAGACTTCCAGAAGCAAATGAAATAATGAATGAATGAAAAATGGTCCAGGGCAGATTCGTCCGAAAGGTCTTACAATTACGTGAATCTTTTTACTCTATGTACTTTGACAAGTTGACAACTAACACTATATATATACACCCCCACGAATAAAAGTTAAAGTAGGCAACCTTATCTCAATTCAACTCTTGTGTACCACGAGTATAATTTTATAACCATTCATTCATTCTACCTTTTCCTAGCCGCTTTTGCTTCAATTCCATGGCTCAACAACAAAAACAAACATCAATAAAACTCATTTCAGAATGTTTTGTCAAACCAAAATATGAAGTTGAAGCTTCTAAACAACCTTACCATTTATCACCTCCTGAAATAGGTATGCTTTCCATTGACCCTATTCAAAAAGGTCTTCTTTTTACCATAAAAAATACACATTCTAATGGTGCTAATGATCGAACCAAAGTTGTTTCTCGTCTTTTTGACAAGCTTAAACACTCTCTTTCTATTGCCCTCGTTCATTTCTATCCATTAGCTGGTCGATTCGTAACGGAGAGATACCCGGACGAGCACGCTTGTTGTATCTACATTGATTGTAACAAGGGCCGGGGTGCAAGGTTGATTTATGTTACGGCACTAGATGTTACGGTTTCGGATATCGTGTCATCCACCGATGTTCCGCCCATTGTTCGATCTTTTTTCGAGCTCGGTGATATAATGGTTAATCATGATGGTCATACGAGGGCTTTGTTATCGATCCAGGTAACGGAACTCCTAGACGGGGTGTTCATAGGGTTTACTATGAACCATAGTGTGGGAGATGGTACGTCTTTTTTACATTTTATTAGCGTGTTATCTGAAATTTTTTGGTCCGAGGAGAATATTGGTCAAAAATCAAAATAGTACTTTAAAATTTTCACGTCCGCCAATATTTAATTTTAAGCCTTGGGTAAGTAATGATCCCGAAAATAAGGTTGCTGAGGTGATGAAGTTGCCCCATTTAGAGCCCGAGGAATTTATAGTCTGTGCAGATCAAGGCCCATTAAGGGAGCGGATTTTTCACTTCTCACCTACGTCGTTGGCTAATCTCAAAGCCAAGGCTAACCAAGAATGTGAAACCAACAATGTTATATCGTCGTTTCAAGCCTTAAGTGCTCTTGTGTGGAGATCCATCACCCGGGCTCGAAACCTACCTTCGGATCAACCAACCACTTGTTCCTTTTCAATTGGTGCACGGAGTAGGTTTGAACCGCCTTTATCTGATGAGAATTTTGGAAATTACATTGGCGGAGCTCAATGGATTTGCAATGTAGAGGAGTTATTGGGCCATGATTTGGGCTGGGTTGCAATGAATTTGCGAAAGTGTATTATGGCCCAAGATGGAAAAGCTATACTTGGTATGTACCAGTTTTTCGCTAAATCCCCAATAGTGTTTACGCCAGACAAACAAGATTTTCATGGGCCAAACAAAGTGGTCATAGGAGGATCGGCATGAAAATTTTACCCTACACCCTAGTGTAGGGTGTGTTCCCTACACCCCCCCTATGCTACGTCGTTTTGTAGCTGGTATTGAGTTCTCATGTGCAGCTTCTTTCCTTTTGCGATTCTTTCCTTTTTTTTTTTTTTTTTTTTCCTTTTTTTCTTTTTTTCTTTTCTTCCTCTTTTTTCCTTTTTCCTTTGATTCTTATTATTCAATTTATGTATATATATGATTTTAAACCCTATTTTTTCTCTCTCTTCAATTGATCAACCAACCTCCATTTTTGATCTACATTTTTCTCTCGCTAATTCATCTTCTTCATTTGATTTTTTGAACGAATTCGTTAATTGTTACCGATCATCAATGGCGAATTCTGCATCTGGAGATTGCGTTGATTTTGATCGCGATTGCGAGCGTGTGTTTCCTTCTGGACTTCGTTTCGTTGATTCGTTTGTGCAACAATGTGAGTAATTGTGATCATAATTTTTCAATTTTTAATTATCCCTAATTTGTTCTGTTATAATGCTCTGTTAATTTGAACTTAATTGATGTATTATTATTCACTTTCGATTTTTGAATTTACTACTTTGATTACATTATGATGAACGTTTTTGGATTGTTGTACTTTGTATGAACATTTTGTTGCTTCATTTGTTGTTTCATTTGTTGTTTTCTCTGTGTTTTAGAATTGTGTGTTTTTGTCGTATATTTTGTAGATTATACTTTCAATTAATCGTTTATGTTTTCTTATTCATTGTTACTAATGTGTTTATGTTCAGTCTTAAAGTCATTTTTGATCATTTATTTTTACATTTTTATATCGATATTATGTGTAGTGGTAAATAATGAAAATATTGTTCAAAATATTATGTGCTGAAATTCTTTTTGCAATTGATCATGTGCTGTTTTGATATTGAACATTTTACTTATTTGTTATTGTTCATTCATGAAACTCTTTATGATCATTTATAATTGTATATTGTGCAGTGGAAAAAAATGATGATATTATGTATTTAGAAGCAGAACAGTCTGAATTAAAGGATAAAGAATTTAAATCTGAAGATGAAGCTTTCGAAGCGTATAATGAATATGCTTTTAGGAAAGGTTTTGGAATTCGAATTGGGAAGAGTAAGAGAAGAAGAGATGATTCTTTTTTGATGAAAAGATTTGTTTGTTGTAATGAGGGATTCAAAGATAATAAGTGTAAGAATAAAAGGATTTATGAGAAGTTGGATCATCGAACTGGTTGTTTAGCTTTTGTGCAGTTTCATATTGATCATTTAGGGGTCTATACATGTACAAGACATGAAATGGTTCATAATCATGCTATGATTCCTCCTGAAAAAAGGCATTTGATAAGGTCTCAAAGAGATGTGAATAAAGAGCAGCTTCTTTTCATTTCAACAATGAAATTGAGTGGAGTCAAAGTTACTGATTCTTTGAGGGTTCTAAAGAAGGAGGTTGGGGGATCTCCTAATCTTTGTTTTACTGCTTCTGATGCTTATAATGCATTGTCATCTGAAAAAGCTGCCCAAATTGAAGGATGTGATGGTAACCAATTGATTAAATATTTTGCCAAGAGACATGTGGATGAGACAGATTTTTATTATGATTTTGAACAAGATGATAGTGGTGCTTTAGTTAGTTTTTTTTGGCGTGATGGTAGGATGATGAGATATTATCATTACTTTGGAGATTTGTTGGTTTTTGATACAACTTATAGAACTAATAAATATGGAATGATATGTGCTCCATTTGTTGGGATGAACCATCATGGTAACAATGTCATGTTTGGTATGGGTTTTATTCTTAATGAGCGCACCGAGTCTTTTGATTGGTTGTTTGATACATTTTTGCACTCAATGGGGAGGAAAAGTCCCATTACAATTATGACTGATCAAGCACAAGCGATTGCAGCGGGTATAAGAAACATTTTTCCTTCAACTGTTCATCATCGTTTATGTGTATGGCATCTTGAACAAAATTCTAAGAAACACATTGGAGCATTGAGAGCTTTGGAAGGCTTTACAGATTTGTTTGGATATCTTTTGAAGTATTGTGAAACTCCTGCTGAATTTGAATATTTCTGGAAAAGGTAAATTATTGTTTTTTATATTTATTTTTTATTTTTATTATGTGATATATTTGATTATTATGTGATATATATATGAACATTTAGTGTTTTACATATGATCATACAATTTACTTTGTTATGTATGTTATCATAATATTATTAGTGTCCATATTGTTTATGATCATTATTCTTTACACAAATGTACATATTTTAATTTATATTTTGTTCATTTTTAAATTAATATATGATCATTTCTGTTATACAGGATGTGTGATAAATACAAATGTGAAAATGATGATTGGTTATGTGATTTGTATAAAATAAAGGAAATGTGGTGTCCTGCTTATTCTAAGAAGTATTGGTCTGGTGGTATATTGTCTTCTCAACGTAGTGAAACTACTAATAAGTCAGTTTCACAACGTCTTAATAAGACTCAAGGTTTATGTGATTTTTATCATGTTTTTCTTGATGTCATTTCTGAGTGGAGAAGTAAGGAAGGTGCAAGAGATTACAATACTCTGAGGGGTAATAGGCACCTAGCTTTTGCTAATATTGGTATATTAGTTCATGCAAGATCATTGTACACTATTCAAGCTTATGTTCTTTTTGAAGAGGAGTTCATTAGGGGGACAGCTTATGATCATGTTGATAATGGTTTGCGTTTTCCAGAATATTCATATCTTCTTTGGAGGCCTGGGAAGGATATAATTAAGCATGAAGTTGTTTTTAATAAGGAAACACATGCAATTTGTTGCACATGCATGTACTTTAGTGAGACTGGTTTACTTTGTTCTCATTCTCTTCGAGTATATCATTTGCATTGTGTGCGTAATATTCCACAAGAGTATATAATGAAACGATGGACAAAGGCTGCCATGTGTAGTCATGGTATTGAAGAACCTACTTTGAGGACAAATGTTGTGGCTACTAGTGTTTGGAGGTCACAAACAATCAGAAAGTTTGTTAAGTTGATAACAAGTTGTCAGAATTCTTTGAATGCAAGGGCAGAGGTTGAGTGTTATTTCAATCTGTTAAAAGAAAAGGTTGAGAGTGTATCAGGTGTAATTGACTTTAGTGAACCTGTTAAAGAGGTTGAAATTGTTGATCTTGAGATCAAGAATCCTCCAAAAGCTAGGCCTAAAGGTGAGAGGAATGTAAGGCCTAAGAGTACCTTGGAGAAGCAGTGTAACAAGGCAAAGGGTAATTTCAAGAGGAAAAAGTCTCTGTACACTCCTTACAAAAGGGGTATAGGGCAAGCAGTTGTACAGGTATATGATCATTTCATATTTTCAAATTGATCATTTCAGTTTTCGTAAATGATCATTTATGTTTTTTTTTTTAAATAGGAACTTGATGAGAACGGTTGTGCTGTTACTTATGCTAATTCTATTAGTGATCCCATTGAATTGATTGTTTTGAGCAATAAACGGGCTCAGGTAAATTCAAATGTGCCAAAAAAAACATTTTATTTATATTTTATTAATATTGATTTTTATAATTTAAAAATATAGGTCGGCTTAAAATCAGCTGTTGTAGAAGAAATTCCTTCTAGTTCTAAGGAATCAAATCATAGTATTTCCAATGATTTTGATCAGGTATATGAACATTTATGATCTATATTATAATTTTTTTTTATTTAATTTTTTATTTTTTATATTTTTTTTTTGGTTTTTTTGTAGGCTACTGGTGAAAGCTCTCTTTCATCTATCATATCTATTGATGTTGATATTTCATCTATTGCTAAGGTTTTTTTTTTTTCCATATTTGTTTGTATAAGTGTTTGTAACTGATCATATACTGGTTTATTAATGATCAATTTAATTTTTTTAAAGGCGAAGGATTTAAATCTTGAAGGTGTTTCTGCTGTTCAACCTTGTTCTAATTTTGGTGCAAATGAAGGTGCTTCTGGTGTTAAAACTTACTCTCAAATTAATCCAAGAGTTCCAATTCATACTAGTGCGTCAACAAAATCTCCTGTTGTTATTCAACCTACTGTTCCCAGGAATGTTCAAAATCAAACTCAGAATTGTTCAAACACCAATCCAGAAATGATCATATCCAACTCCAGGAATGTTCAATCAACAAATGTTCAAGTTATTTCTCCTACGGTTCAAATAAATGATCAAGGATTTCCTGTTCAGAATGTTCAAGTTACTCCTCCCACAGTTCAAAGAAATGATCAAGGTGCTCGTGTTCCAATTCTTCAATCAAGAAATGTTCAATTAGGTTCTAAAAAGATTTCTTCTAAATATGATAGGTTGTTAGCCTTTTTTGATACAAGTGTAGCTAAACGTTTGGCTAATAAAGATAAATAATTAGTATTCCAGAACTTTATAAACATTAGACTTTTTTGTAATGTTGATTTAATTACTATTTTGTAATTTTGAATTTTCGATCTATTATATAAAAAACTTTCATTCAAAGATTAAAATGAAATATCAATTACAATAATATTAAAATAAAATCCATAAGTCTACTTCTAAAAAAAAAAAATAGTCATATATAAGAAATGAACATATACATAGTTGTAAATGAACATTTGAAACTACAAAGTTGCAAATTTTCTAGCTTTCCTTCTATTTTCTCTTGATTCAGTGTTTTCTTCAAATAACATCAGTTCTGCTGTGTATTGGAGCCTTAGATTTCTAATTTGTTCCACCTGTTGAACAAAATGAATTGTCAAATTTTAATTAAACAATCTTTACTGTTTCATAAATGAATATTATATCTTAAATAATTGATCATTTATAACTCTTACATTGTTTGGTTTTAAATCACAAATCCAGCTCTCATTAGGATCAGCAGTGAAGGTTTCCATATGCTTCATAATGTAAACTCCACAGTTTGTATAGTCATTGTTGCTACGCCATTTCATCTTTTCCAAAACAACTGTGTAGTCTTCAATTCTTTTTGCATCTTGATATCCAAGGTGTTTCATGTA